TGTTGAAGTGATAATATTATAGGTTAAATAAAACATTAAAATTAATTTCCCCTCTTGGAAAGTTTTTAATGAGGCTACCAGAAAATTTAAAATTATATCTATATGACTCTCATTATATTTCTATTGGATAGCATTACTATAGGTGTTTGGAGATACAAATTTGATAATTATGAGATACAGATTTGTGAATATAATATCATAGGTGTAATTTAGACCAAGGTGTATATAAATCTGACCATGAAGTATGTTAAGTAATAAAGGGACTAATGCACCTGAAACACAGTTTGACTTACAAAACTCCATTTACCAGCAACTTCTCAGGAACATACACAACCACAATATAAATACTGAGATACTATGTTTTGATGAAGCCAGACCACAGCTCACATAAAAAGAAAAAAAATTTTAGGAATATTATTTAGTCAAGTGTAAGCTTTTTCTTTACCTCTGTAAAATCTGAACATATATTCAAAGGAGCTTGACTGAGAGGTCCACATAACCCATAACTATAAACCAACCTGATGAAAAGGGTCGTCTCTATATTCTTTTTTCACACATGGATTAATCTGAGGATTTTCCACATCTGTCTCACTGGTACAAGATGAACGGCATTCTGCACAATGTAACAAGTCTTCCCATAATATATCTTCTGTTTCAGATTCTGGCCTTGTACTCTCAGAATCCTGTCTGGAACTTGAACAGCGAGAGCTGCAACTAGTACCCGATTTAGGGGCATCCTGAAATCAAGATATTCTTTGACATTAATACAATTTATGTACCCTTTCCAATTCAAAGGATTCTATCAGAACCATATATTGTTACTTTTTGCAAAAACAACAAATACACCGTCAAAAGACAGTGAAAGAGATAGCAAAACATTAAAAAAAATATTCATTTTTAAGCAGTAACAAAAGGCCCTTGTATCAAAATTTATTTGATTTCATATTTCAGCTCAGATGATACTTTGCATGCAATGGTTGTGCCTATTTTCTCTTAAATTTTGATTTAAATTAATTTAAAAGAATTTTTACTGAATAAAGAATGGTTAATAGCCATCCTCAGAACCAAATATGTTCAAATCTTTGGATTTCTTTTTAGCCATCCTCTGTAACTAAGATCTGTCAATTACACCTTTAAAATGTTTTATATTATCCCTTTGTCTTTCCCAGGCTATCGCCAGAGTTCAGACTTTATCATTCATACCTTCATTGCTATAAGTACCTCCTAACTGACCCCTGCCTAAAAGGCGTTCTTCTTCTTTCCAGACTCCTCTAACCAAAGTCTTTCCCTGGTTTCCCTCACCTCTCCTTCAAAAAGTTCAAATTCCTTCACTGCACATGCTTATCTTCGTATGTGCTAGTTTTTGACTTTGTCTTCTACTTCATACCATAACCTTTTCCTCCAGTGATATCGGGCTACTCGCTAGCCCCTAAACATGGCTTGCTCTTTGCCACTCTAGCCTTTGATTATGTTCCTATCTTTTATCATTAATCCTGCTCTCCTTTAAAGAGATGTTGAAAATTAAATGAGCATGGTAGCTTTTAATCCAAACCTGGCACAAAGCAGGGACTCAACAAATGTTAGTTTAAAGCCACCTACCTAGAATGATCACTTTGTCCCTGAAGTGAGTTATTATCATTTATCTTTACTTGACAATATATTTTGCATTGCTTTCCAGAATCTAATATATTGCCTGTCTCAATTAAATGTTCATGTATTTCATGTTCGCAAATAGATCGTAACTGTCAAATACACTATAAGTCCATGAAAGACAGATTTTTTTTTTTTGCCATCCTTACCACAGGTAATAAAATATCCTGAATAAGGTACATTATACATTATTGATAATCAATCTGTTGATATTAGACTGGGGCATATGAATCCATATTTAGTGTATTGACAGAGTGATTCTGAGAGAAAGGCTGTTTGTTTAGGAAGAACTAAAAACATTTTTTTTTTAAAACATTTTTTTAAAAGAGATGAACAGGAAAATGAATAAAGAAATAAAAAGAGAAAATAAAGAAAAAAAAGGGCAAGAATCAGTCTGCTTTGTTTTAGAAACAGGACTCCGAAAATATTTCAGATTCAGTAATGTCAACCAGAATCCTTAAAGTATAAGAAGTTTTCATTATAATAATTGTCATTAGATAGCAAGGCACAGAAAATATTAAGTTTTCAGTAAGTGCAAATTTGACGTTTTTGATAAAGCTAGCTTATTATCTATCACTAACTTATGATGCAGATTTATTAATAAGATTCAGAAATAAATTAAGGATTAAAGGCCTGATTACTGTTTAACTGAAACTAATGACTTATTTCAGGGATAAGGGAATATCTATAATTCTTCATAAGTGTTTTTTGCCAAATACTGATTAATAAGTGGGCCATTTTACAAACGTAAAATCTAAAAATTATTGCCCATAATTGCTTATATTTCAAACAGAATTTTACCTGCAATATCTGTGATGAACAGCTACTTTGAATTTTACTACAAACTGTTGAATAAAGCCTAAAAATAGGAAATTTTACAATTGAAGAAAATTGTTCAAGTTAACCACATTTTGGTTTGCTCTGCTCATTTCCAATCTTTAGACAGATAGCCAAAACTGAACTTATCAAATTTAGAGGACACACAGTATTTATTTCAAGGGAATATGCATTTATAAAATAAATGCTTTGTGCTAAGCTATTTATGTACAAGCATATTTAACCCTAACAATCTGAAGAGGATGGTCTTATCTCCCCATTGTACGGATGCAGAAAAGACTCTAGAGAAGTTCAATATTTTTCCCAAGGTCATTTAAATGATCTTACTCCAAGCCCACGGTTTCTTCATTATGCTTCCTACTTACCAAATGTTACCTTTATTAAATGAAAATCTAATCTACAATTGGGAATAAAAAATGGAAAACACTTACAGAGTTGAACAAAGACAGGACAGAGCAGGAAATAGGATAAATGCTTAAAAGAAGCTATCAGTTCCCTAGGACACCTCCCACATCCCAGATAAGCAAGTAATCCCACCACTGTCCTCCCAACAGGAGACTGGAAGAAGCCAATCAGACACAGTATTAATAGATAGTAAAAAAAGGGCAAAATCAAGGGGATTAAACAAAGTCTACACATTAAATGAAAAGATTTCCCACCTCCTCCTCAGCCTGCTTGGTGTCAAACACCATGGCAGCCTGTTTTATTATCCCCTACCCCCATTCCACCAGAAGATTGGATGATTCTTCCTGAAAAACTAGAAGCCCCTAAAAATTTTATTGATAGATACTGCCTGCCATCTGGAAGGCTTACGACAAATGGCTCTCTTCCTCACCTCTCATATCTTACAGTGAAGCCCACCAGTCCCACTCATGCACAAAATGCTTCCCCAAAGGATATTTTGTTCATTTCTTTTTGTTTATCAGTTGGAATACTTTTATAAAGAGAAATTAAAGTTCAAACTATTCTCTTTGGCTCCTGAGTCCTTCTAAAAAGACCTTAGTAGTCTTTAATAGCTTCCTTGCTCTCTATCGTATCAAGAGGTTCCCAGGTCATTTTGTGTATTTCTTGCAACAGTCAGGAATCAGGAATCAGCTATTTCTTCAAGGAGCCCTGTTTTTTGTTTTGTGGGTTTTTTAAGTGATAAATGGCATAAGGTAGGTACTAGAGATGCTTGTTCATTGTGTTTGGGTGGGCCCAAACAATTTTTTTGTGCCTCATTCATAAAGAAAAAATATGACCAGTAATTTGAAGGGAGTATAGCAATTTATACCATAAATAAAAATGCAAAACAGCGCTACAAATCTTCTGTCTCAATTTTATTTATTCAAAAGAGACTTTACTTTGCTTTTTAAAAAACGTCTCTTTTTAAAGCTAGTTTGACTTCAGAGAGTTAAAATTTTTTAGAACTGAATGCAGCTTTTTAAATACCTTCCAGTCTAAGTTCTTCACTTCACAGATGAAGAGTTTGATGACCAGATTTTATTTTTATGTAATCTTTTATATATTAAAAAAGATTTAAAACAATCAATGCCTACCAATTACCAGCCTTACTTAGCTTGAAATCTAGAAGATTTTAAGCAACATATTTATGTAAAAGTTAAGATTAGTAGAATAATGTTCTATCCTTCAAGACTTTCAAAATACGGTTGCAAACCAAGAATAGCAAAAATCCTGGGGGTTGAGAAAAGTACTTCTAAAGCCAAATAATTCATTCCATAGGAGAGAGCTCAAACAGCCTTCTAGCTCCCTTCCAGCACCAACTGACTTCTAACTGTATGAAGAGTAAGACTACGATTTCATAAGCTTAGTTATCGGGTTAGGAGAAGGACACAGTACATCAAATGATGTGGGTGAAGAGGGAATGAGTGGACAGACATACTGGCATCAGTGTCTAATGGCAGCCACTGAGAAAAGAAATGCAACCACGGTCACCGGAAAAATTAACTAGAGATACAACCACAGAGAAGAGTGTGCAAAGAAGCAACTCTGCTAATTTTAATACTCTGAAGGCATTCATATTCTAGCACAGTGTAATATTGGATTTTTCATAAGTTTAACCCAAAATCATGAAGGAAAAAATACTAATATATTTCAAAAAGAGTACAAGGTAATGTTAAGTGACATAAAGTGTAATTGATTTGCCTTGAAGCCAGAGATTTGAATGTTCTATCCTTAGAACAGAAACTGAAAATTCAATGAATAAAATTCTTTTTCTATTTAAATAATTTTAAGCTCAAGAGATATGATAAAGTTTGAAAAGGGTTTAGAGAAAGCAAAAATCAATAAGAAAAAACGGAAACAAAGAAAAAAAAGAACTGAATTTTATAGTATGAGGACTTAATAACCAGTGAGAATATGAAAGAAGTTACTCAGAATAATAACTTTGCTATAATCAAGAATTATAAAGCCTTTCAAATTGTGAAAAAGACGAACACAGAATCTGCAGATTATCTCTCCAGAATGGTCTTCTTTAAAAGCAAACAACAAACAATGTACGAGTCTTCAAAAACAATGCACAAAATGAGTTCAAATATATGATTGTCACTATATGCACAATACATAAATCTAAAACCGCTACTCTATAAATCCACATCATATAATAACAACAGATATCGATAGTAATGGAAAATATTTCAACAATAATTTTCAATTGCTGAAAAAGTTATAAATTAGAAACATAGAAAATAGCTATGTATGTACATATTTAAGGCCAAAGTGTATACCTCATTAGGATAATGTTTCTTATAATGGTGTGACTTTCTATTCCGAAGAACGCTTTCAGAAGTCCTGTCCACGTGACGGCGTAGTGGGTATCCTGCTTCAGGACCTTCCTCACTGGAGACTTCATCAGAGATATTTGTTATTGTCCTTTGGGTATCCTAAGTAGGGAGTACACAAAAAGGATTAAAATAGGTAATTTCTAACTGAACTTTTAGCTTTTAAGATTTTAAATTACATACACATACATACATGTATCTTCAAAATACCTTCAAATACCTCAAGGTGATTAGTACTACCTGATTTTCTGAAAACAATGTCTTAAATCAGTGATTATACTTTTAAAGTACATTTTACTTTTAAAAGTACTTCAACAGCCATTTGTCAAACATTGCTCTATAACATTTTTGTTCATAGAGATTTGAAACAGTTAACAAAAATAAAAAAATATAAAACAGGAGAAAAGGAGAACAGAGACCATTTAAAAGAAACTGAGAGACCTGAAAGGAACTAATTATACTATTTCTTTCCAAACTGAAAAAGCCATCAATTATAAGACCCCCTGCTGATTCAATACTGGCTTATGGGCAAGAGGGAGTGAATGATAGCTGTATGTGTGCACATACCAAATAGACAACATTCTGTACACATCAATTTGTGAGAGACATCTAGATTTTAGAAATTCTGAAACTAAAAGACTCCAGAGCATACGTTTTATTGATATCTTCGTGTTCCTCATATAACTTTACTATGTAATACAAACCTAAAAATGTGTTTGAAAGCTGTATGATTGAAAACTTATCTGTTGAGTGATCATAGTGATGTGAGGTTCATATTATAAGAGAGCTAAATGCTTGAAAAACCAGAGTAAGGGACCATATTTCACTGCAGGCCCATGCTGTTCTATAGCTACTGGTACTGAAAATATATGTCTGTTCAAGTAGTAACACATACTTTACCCGAAATAGTAGTAACACAAACTTTACTCAAAATTAGAGAATCCAGGCTGGGCACGGTGGCTCATGCCTGTAATCCTAGCACTCTGGGAGGCCGAGGTGGGCGGATTGTTTGAGCTCAGGAGTTCGAGACCAGCCTGAGCAAGAGCGAGATCCCGTCTCTACTAAAAATAGAAAGAAATTAATCGGACAACTAAAAACATATAGCAAAAATTAGCTGGGCACGGTGGCACATGCCTGTGGTCCCAGCTACTTGGGAGGCTGAGGCAGGAGGATCGCTTGAGCCCAGGAGTTTGCGGTTGCTGTGAGCTAGGCTGACGCCACAGTACTCACTCTAGCCCGGGCAACAAAAGCAAGACTCTGTCTAAAAAAAAAAAAAAAGAAAATTAGAGAGTCCTCTTTTCTTTATTTTCCTTAACACAAAATGTTCATGCTTACATTCCTAAATGTAACAGAAGTAACATCTTTTAATTTGACCATATATTTTTTTTTACTATTTACTACTTTTTTAAATATTTTTTTAACAGATTTTAAAGAATAAATTATTTAACAAAAAAAATCAGTGAAACAAAGAAACAGAAGACATTACACTAGGTTTTGTTACAATGAACTCAGAGTCTCTTTGACTATTATTTTGGAAAAGTAAACAAATAATGGTTACCTTTAACAAATATTTCCTTAATAAGAGTTTTTTCAGATTAAAAACAAAACAGATGTGCTGAGAGCACAGGTAATGAATGTAGAAAAAAACAAGACATTTTCTTATGATGAATATGAATAGAATATTGGTCTTCTACTTTAGCTTTCTGAATAATTTAGATGTTCCACTTAATGCATATTCTTACACATATGGAAGTAGGGAAAGAAAAAGTAAGGCTTAACAAACAACAATTATAAAGTGCTTTAACATTTTGGAAAATCAGAGCCATTAATCAACACCTAAGTACCAAATTCTACTGGCAATCAAGTTTAATCACATAATACTTTATCTGATTTTCAGCTTCATTCGTGTTATTTATAAAGGCTTGCAGAATAAATTCTGGAGACAATACTTTGTTTAAGGGCAACTACTGATACTATATTTAAGTCACTTTGTTAGGTAGATAGTGAGGGACTTCTGACTCTCCTGGAGACAAAGACAGGTGCCCCAAACAACTGTCACACCTGAGGGAGGAAGGAATGCCCTGCCAATCCGCCAATTACAACTTAACGCACCAACTGCCAAAGAATGCAGAGGATTCCCCAGCCTGTAGGCCATGCAGCCCAGGCACAATAGGGTCTAGAAGGTGACCTAGAACAACCTAAGGCTAAATATCATGTCATTACCTTAAATCTGCATTGCAGTTCCCCCTACCATGGACTTTCAGAGAGGATCATAGGATAACCACATTCGCAATAAGACTCAGGTTACACAATTCCCAATTGCCTATCAAAGTGGTTCAATGGTGACATTTGAACCACAAGGAGGGCCCAACCTAGGCAATACAAAACAGGACCCCAGACCATAATTGGAGCCCTCCTGTTACAACAGGGGGCCCTTTCACCATCTATGGTGAATGTATCTTACTTTGATCAATAAACTTTTCCTGGTGCTTGCCTTACTTTTGGTGTGTCTGGTCATTCCTCTGCCAAGAGCACACCAAGAACCGAAAACAGACTGCTGACCTGACAACTTCACATTAGCTAATATAAAATCACACAGGCAAATTATTTTAAATGTCACACTTACTTTGCTGGGAGCATTCCTCAGTGTTCCTGTGTTCCAGGTTGTCTCTTCTGGTCGAATAGTTTCACACTGAGGTTCATGATTTTGTATTCCATCTTCACTGTTTTTAACAGTCTTTTTCCCATCAAGGGATACATAGCCATTGTCAGTTTCAGTAGATTTGTCAATTGAATTCTTTGCTTTCTTTGATCTAAAAAGAAAAATATGCAGAAGCATGTTTGGACTTAGCTTATTTTGAATGGGTTATTGATGGAAATTATAATCTGTTAATAATTACATCTGACAGTTATTTCTCAGAATTTTAATGGCCACCCTATTTTCAAAATAAATAATTTAGAAATATAATATCTAACAGATGAAATAAATATGTAAATTAATGTCCTACCTCAGCTTATTTTACAGGTGTTAAAGTCCTACAAACAGCAATTCTAGGAGACATGCCCTAACTTATCAAAAAATTCTTAGTCAAAGTCACCTGGTCTTTGAGCAAAATCTAGGATCAAACTTTTGCCCATTTCCCCTAACTGATCAACACTATGGTGCTCACACGGTAGTAATATTCTCCAGGGATTAGGGGGTTGGTGGGGTGGTAAACTCACAACTAATGGACTCAGTGAGCATTGTAGAGGGGAAGGGCATGCCTCTAATCCTCGCTTGGGTGAGGCAAAGTCATAAAATGTAACCAAAATGTTTGTACCCTCATAATATCCTGAAATGAAAATAAATAATAATAATAAAAAGGCCAAGAAGCAAAAAAAAAAAAAAAAATTAGCCCATTCCTTTATGATTCATAATATACTTTGAAGTTTTAGTTTGAAAACTATCTTAGTAATTTTCAGGTTAAGTCACAATTAGTAATTTAACTTAGTTTTAACACTCTACCCAAATACTTTACCATTAGTATGTATACATAAATATCTCTGATAAATTCATTTTAATATAAAATGGAGAATAACATCTTTTGTAACATAAAAATATATGAAAAATGGAAAACTTTAAATAAGGTTCTAAATAACGGAAGAAGTAAAAGTGAAGAATACAATGAAAACAAAGAAATAACCTCTTTCACCCACTGAAATAATCTCTGGAAAAAACATTAGTAATCATGCAGCTTATAAATACCTAAAGGGCTAAAATTGAGGATATTCATTTACAGGAATAATTTTTTTCAATATATAAATACTACATGGGAAATAATAAACAAGATATTTTTTATTAATAGGCAAATGCCTGGGGAGTCTTCTACAGAGATAACGGTGGGTGAAATAATGGCTATCCAAAAGAAATGGTTAGTAGAAATACAATGTAAGTCCTGTACATAATTAAAATGTGCTCAATGCAGATTAAGTCTATCATAAAACATTTTAAAGCAATTATATTTAAATAAATTTCCTTGAATTTTCCCCAGAGGTATTAGTTTTGTAAGAAAGGAAAAATAAAATTAGTATATTACCTTCGATTAGGTCAAAAAACAAGTTTTTTTAAAATGTACACACACACACAAAACCCTACATTATCTTTAACACTACACTTAACACAGTTCTATTGGCATCTGTTTTAGAACTGGGCAGGACTTAGAACTCTCCTATTCCAAATGCTCATTTTGGAAACAAGGAATCAGAAGCACAAAAAGGTATACGCGACCTATTTAAGGTTACACAGCCAGCTAGAAGCAAAGCTGGCACTACAGTACAGACCTTCTGACTATGAAGTTAATTATATCTCCATACTACCTCCAACTGCCCACTCTTTGGGAAACTGCCTATTAGGATTTCTTAACACACTCTTCTAAGCCCAGAAGTTTGTGTCTTATGCTAATAGGTGCCTCTTCTGCAAGATTCCTAAAGGAGACAGACAGATCATATTTCCCACATGCTCTACAGAGCACTAATGCTTTTTATTCATCTGGAACGCATCTCCACAGAGTAGCGAGACTGGGAAGCCCAATCTGCTGACCTTTTTCTTTCTATACGATCCTCAGAAGCATGGACAGATCAAGGGAACAATGAGCCATAGAACAGAAATCATTTAAGAGTAGTGGGGAGAGGGGAGAACATGAATTATAGTAGAGAGGAGAATGGGCAAAAATAGAAAACAAAAGGCACAGCGGAAACTTGCAAACTTCTCTGCCTGAGGAAGAAAGTGATAGAAGCATCAGTTATTAACTGTTCCCTTTACTACATCTGTATTTTGAACATTATGCAAAATGAAGTTATTTAATATCCTGAAAAATGTCAGAAACTCAAAGAAGAGGGAGAGTGCTGGAAAGGTATTTATGAAGGCTCATGGAAATCAGACTAGGCTGAGAAGGGAGGGGGGAAGGGATAAATGAACTGAAAGAAGAGTGGAAAAGTTTATAGAACCATTAATCAGACAGAATGTGCAAGAAGAGAAATTTATTTGGGAAGAAAGATGGAACATGCTGAGAAACACGAGTAGGCAATTGAAAACATGGGCCTGGAGGCCAGTAACTCAAAGCATAAATAGAGGATGAAAATTTGGGAAAACATGCCAAGTGAACCAGAACTCTACAGGGCAAAAAGACAAAGGCCTAGTGAAAGATCTTTGAGTCAGTAAAAGCTGTTGCTTTAAGAATTTTTCTAAGGGACATGTACTCTTTCCTTAACAGGGCAAGGTAAAGACTATGTCAAAGACTACTACCAGTAGCACTCATTATGATGCCTTTCAGCTACGTCTCACTTCCTTCCGTATCTCTCCTTCTTTCCAATCTTCTATGGGTTGTTTCTCTCCCCACCATCCACCATCTCCTCAAAGTATATGTAATACTATCAGGAGATATGAACAGTAAGTTATTAAGCTATAGTACCTATTTTATGCTTTTCATGAACCAAATGCAGATCAAGCTGCAATGGCAAAAGAAAATACTAAATGTAAGCACCACCCTCAGAGTTTACAAAGTAGCTCAAAATACAAACAAAGGCAGCCTCAGTGGCTGGTAATGACAACACTTGAAAGAATATCATTGGAGTGGGACAGCAGGAGCACCCCAGTGAGTCAATAATGGCAGCCCATTTAAGAACAATATTTGGGCAGGGTTCCAGGAGCAGCCTGGCAGGAGATGGGCTATATACAGGGGATTAACTGAATAAGTAAACATACTAACAATAATGGAATCAGGTTTTTTACTGATAGAAAAAGTAGATATAAAAAGGAGGCCGGGCGTGGTGGCTCACGCCTGTAATCCTAGCACTCTGGGAGGCTGAGGCAGGCGGATTGTTTGAGCTCAGGAGTTCAAAACCAGCCTGAGCAAGAGCGAGACCCCGTCTCTACTAAAAATAGAAAATAAATTAATCGGCCAACTAAAAAATACATAGAAAAAAATTAGCCGGGCATGGTGGCGCATGCCTGTAGTCCCAGCTACTCGGGAGGCTGAGGCAGAAGGATTGCTTGAGCCCAGGAGTGTGAGGTTGCTGTGAGCTAGGCTGACGCCATGGCACTCACTCTAGCCCAGGCAAAAGAGTGAGACTCTGTCTCAAAAAAAAAAAAAAAAAAAAAAAATATAAAAAGGAGAAAAGATAGAATGAACCCCTGGTATTGTATTTGAATTTGAGCTATCATTACAAATTCATGGTTTATAATGTATAAAGATAGCTATAGAAATAAATATAAATGTTAAGGGATAAATGCACATGTTCTTGCTCTGCCACTGAAAAGGCCTGGGGATAGCAACACCCCAAAAGCAATAAGCACGCCTTGCACCCAGATTTTTTTTTGCACCAAAAAAAAAAAAAAAAAAAAAGTAGCTGATTCCAGGGCTGGGGCAGAAGGAAGTAAAAGTTGAACCTGAAACATTCTTTTGCACCAGAAAGTAAGGAAATGCTCAAAGAACAATAGAGGCATGTCAACATAACAAGGAAACTGCTCAAAGGGGCACCACTGGCTAAAATTGGGTCAATCTGATCATCAAAATAAATAATGCAGTAACAAACTGAATAAAATAGAAATCTATGAGTAAATAGATTGCTCATAATCTATTTGTGTGTAAAAGGAAAGCTTCTTCTTAAAGTAGAATGCCAAATAATAAATGTAGAAGGAAGGATGAAGTTAGATAAATCACCATTTGGGAATCATCATAATAATAATTTGGGCAAGAATCATCAATGGATGCTAAAACTAGAAGGTGAAAGTGGATGAGAAATGGGTTGCAGTTGGCCCTCCATATCTGCAATTCCACATCCACTGATTCAATCAACCTTTAATTAAAATGTTGGTTGGCTTAATATGGTGTGCTGGTAAATCTTTAGCAAGTTCTCTAGGGTTGTTTATGTATTTCCTGACTTCTATGGTGCCAATAATTCCACCATGGCCAATTTCAAGTACCAACTGATATCACTGAACATAAAATTGGGAAGAAATATGAATATTCCGTTCTCACAAGTTACTTGGAGCCAGATCCAGCACACCACTGGCACAAATCCAAACTGAGGAACATTCTACGAAGTGGCTGCCCTGAAGTCTTCAAAAAATGTGAAGAGCATGAAACTCAAGGAAAGACTGAGGATCCATCCCAGATTGAAGGAGACGGAAGAGACGTGATCAGTTGGTGTCGCAAATGATCCCAGATGACAGCTTTCTGCTATAATAAAGGACATCAATAAGGGCAATCAGCAGAATTTTAATTGGGTCTCTGGATGAAAGGTAACACGAGAGTTCTTTGTGTTGTTCTTGCAACTTTCCTGGAAGTCAAATTGTTTCAAAATAAAATTACATATTGAAAAAAGTACAAACTGATTTGTCACCTGATTGGGGCATTTCAGCATAAAGAAAATGCTGAAAGAAAGGAGAAATGGTAGAAGAGCTAAATTTTAATTATTGTAAGTAAAGAGGGTCAAAACCTGTGACTGCTCCAGGCCAGGTTTAGTTTTACCACTAATTGCTATGTGACTCATATTGCTATTAATAAGTGAAAGTAAGAACCTCAAAGAATAATACGAATTTCTCAAAAGGAACACAGGTTTCTAAAAAGATGTTTAAATAATTCATTCTATTCTCTTGCTTTAGAGGGTAAAAATACTAAGGAAAGGCAGTAGAAGTGAGAGATTTACTTAAAAAATAAATATTATAAAATTTTACCTACAATATATATTGTAAAGGGAAGTTACTTCAGGCTGCCTGCTCTAGGCCAAGAATGGCACTGCGTTGCTGTATCATGAATGTGTGCAAGTGAGCCACATTCCCGAACAGGAAGATAGTTGCTTCCACTTGAGAGGTAGGCAGTGTGACCCAATGGCCAGGGCACAACAGGCACTGCTGTGTGGAGGATTTTGACATGTAGACTGGGGACACACAAAAAGAACCTAGAAAGCTCAGAGCAGTTGAAAAGACCACCGGCCTGAGAGTCAAGGCCTCCCGACTCGGCTGTTATTAAGTGATTTCCAGTGTTATGAGGAAAAAATCAAGATGAAATCAGTGAAAAGTTTTTTGTAAATTACAAACATTGTATCAGATGTTACCAATTTTATTGGCTTGACCATGACCTCACTCATGGATTTTGAAAAGCTGTTTACCAAATTGAGTATAATGATGAGAAAATAGTTATATTTAATTGGAAGACAGCTCAGTCAGAACCTCGGTTTGACATGGATAGGATATGATTCTAGCATAAATCAAGGAAACCTGTCATTTAAGACCACCAGAAAATGTGTAATTTCTGATAGGCTTTTTAGAATATTGAAAATTGATTATAGATTTTCATTTGCCACTCTTGAGAATTCCTAAGGTCCTAGGGGATGTTAGTTAGAAACAACTGAACTTTGTGATTTTCAGTATCCTTTTGAACTCTATATTCTATAATTCTTAGAGGAAAAAAAATCTCAGATTCAATTCTGTCCTAGGTGTTGATGAAGCTTGTAGGAGTTAACTAGGGGCTTTTCCTAGGAACATCTATTGATGCTGAGGGAGAAGGGCCTAGACGAAGGACCAGCAACCCAGACCTCGCCAATCACCTAGGCAGTGACCCATCATAAGGCCGCAACCCTCCTCAACTCTGCCTTAGCTGCTCACCCTCATATTCCCAGCTTCTTGAGTTTACCAAACATTTCTATTCAGAAAAATGATATAGGAATGACGTTATTAGAATTCCCAGAACCACCCTTCTTGTAAAAACACCGCATTATTCAACCCCTTGTTTAAATTCACTTTCAGGACCCAACTAAAATGTGAAGCCTTCCTAACTTTCCTAGGCAGAGATAGTTGTATTCTCCTTCATGCTCCTAGGGTATTTTGCTTCTACTTATAACATTGTATTTTAATGGTTTATATGTGATTCTCCTCCAATAGCCAATTGTCTCCAGCATTGTATTCCCAGTATGTAACACAATGCCTGGCCTATGATAGGTGCTTATTAAATATTTCTTGACTAATGAGGAAAAAAAAAGTACTTCCTGCATTGGATTTTGAACTGAAAACATACATAAAGAAACCAAGTGCAATTTCATGGTCATGATCAAGGCTTACAGTTTTATAACTAGCCTGCCACTTTAATCTTTGGCTAGCACAACCTGGGTAGAATTTTCTTTAAAGTACTATGCTTCACATTCAAGGAATAGTGTATGTCAAAGCTACTCTTAGAAGGAAATGACCCTTAGACATATATGCAGTATAAGCCGGGCACAGTGGCTCACACCTGTAATCCTAGGACTTTGGGAGGCCGAGGCAGGAGGACTACTTGAAGCCAGGAGAGTGGGGCCAGCCTTAGCAAGAACAAGACCCCCGTCTGTAAAAAAATAGAAAAATAAGCCGGGCATGCTGGTGCGTGCCTGTAGTCCCAGTTACTCAGGAGGCTGAGGCAGAAGAATCATTTGAGCCCAGAAGTTTGAAGTTGCAGTGAGCTATGATGACACCACTGCACTCTAGCCAGGGTGACAGGGTGAGACTCTGTCTCAAAAAAAAAAAAAAAAAAAAAAGAAATATATGCAATATAATCACCTTAGTTCCACTGTGAGATAAATTATGACTTTGGTCCTTTCTAAAAAATGCAAATAAATATATAATCTACATACATAAATCATAACACTGGATGTGTTTTTCACGTTGAAAACTTTAAACAAAAAGTTAACACAACTTTTAAAAGACTTACCAGTTCATAACATCTCAAACCTATTATATTAAACATAAAAAATACTGTGCATATTAAACATGAAAACGAGTGTGTATATTAAAATACAGATGAAGGTTCACTCGCTCACCTGCAGCTCACCTCCTGACGTGCAGCCCAGTTCCTAAGAGGCCACGGATCAGTCTGTGGCCCGGGGTTGGGGATCACAGGCTTAAACAACCAAACTATTTAAGCCACAGTCAATAAAAGCCAAATTTTAATCCTTATACCAAAAATTTCAAGAGGGACTGCATACCACTTTAACTTATATTTTGCAGGGTATGCCATTCTGTGAAGAAAATCAATTTATTAAATCTTAAACTTTCACTTTAGTGTTAAAAATGATAAATACTAAGGCTAAATGTGACAGGAATCTTAAAGGTAGGTGAATCAGGCATATAAGTTAACATGTGATCTGGTTTTATTCTGATATGACCAAGTCAATTTTGTAAGTTACTTTCTCTACTCAAAAAAAGAGCATAATTCCTGTTTGCTGTCTGTTTTTCAGTGATATTGTGATGGCAAAATGAACTTTAAAGGACATCAAAGAAAATTTAGGATCTAACTGAATTCTGAAGTATTATGCTGAAGAGATACACAATGAAGACATAATTCTTCCTATTCAATCTTTTCAATAGAAACTAAAATCATGCTAATTAAGATAAAAATTCACTGACATTAAAGTACTAAATCCTTAGGAAATATGATTAATTTCTATACCATTTTAAATTTATATTTTCTTAGGCTTTGTTTCCTCAGGTTCATAAAGGTTTTTAAAAGTAACTCCTAATTTTTCAAATGCGAAATACTGTGCACTGTTTTAAAAAGAATAGTTTTATCTTGAGAATGAAATGTACTTAGAGATGATAAATAGCACCTTTCCAACTTATAAATACACAATTTTAAAACAGGGGTTCTCATCCTAACATTTAAAAATCATCAAAACACCATACACAAAGCCTAGACATTTTTGTGGTTATTCATTTATTTTTCCATAAGTTACGTTAATTGAGATACCTTAATAGAAGTATCCAGGTTTTCAATCTATGAAACAATTTTGTTAAGTCTCAGTTGATATTTCAGTTTAAGCCCTTACTCAGTTAACAAAGCCTGAGGGAAGATGACATCATCAAGATTTCTAAAATCAGCTTAGGATTTCTAAACTTAACATTTCTCTTAGGACCTTTCTGTACCTAATATTTAAAAACAGTCGCATTCATATGCTGGCAAACCAGCCCTAAAATGAGACAGCTGAAAATAGTACACTGTTAAAAATATTCAGATGTACAGTTCTCATGATTATAGAGAATAAACCCAGTGGGTTAACCACTGTAATGGATACCCACATAATAGTAGTCTTGGTCATGGTCATCCTGCAGCCCAACAGGAGGAAAACTGAAGTCTGGATCTCATTTGACTATAGAAAGATGATAAACTTCCAAAGGTACCAACCTATTAGTTTTAGGGGGATTCTGAACACTGAACATATATAGAATCAGTTTTAGACAACCAAAACAACTAAATGATTCCCAAAAAGCAAATGATATCCACTATGCTATTTATAACTACTTATCTGAAAGTCTTGAGAAATGTTTCAGAAACTGCCTTTGCAGTGATTAAACTGTTTACATCCTAATATTAGAAAGGAGAGCTATTTTTTTTAAAAGACTAATGAGAGAAATATAGACAGAATCCAACACAAGTTAAAAAAGAAAAACATATTGTCTCTGAAAAAGAAGAAATTGGAATAACCAGGGTTTCAACTTAATCAATGCCATGTTACTGCAAACTATTAAAATTTGGAAAACTTTCCCAAAAATTACAATCAACGAAAATATGCCCAGGATATAATTGCTTAGTTGTATAATGCATGATAAACTTTATCATAAGAGCACAATCACAAATTGACAAAATATATTAGTGAAGGAGTTAACAAAGTGACAGAATACTTATTTGCAGTATCCCTTTTCTTCATTTATTAATTTAGTACCTTTCATCAGTTACACTCAATATTTTGATCATAGCTTTTTAACTGTTCAAACTTATTTTAATTATATGTAAACTAGTACCATAACTCTTAAATGTTTTGAATTAAATATCCAAAATAATAATAATAAAAGATTGATTCAGGTTTAATTTATTTTTGAAGTTTGCTATAATTATATTTTCCTATTTGGTTTGATGGCACAAACTATACAACAAGCCCAGTGTAAAAAAGGAGAATTTCATATGAAAGTATACATTTTATTCATTTAAATAACAATGTCTATATGTTTTATTTCAGATAAATTTGTTTAACTGAGGCAGGGACTTAGAAGAAAAAAATTTCGTACAACTCACATATTAGCCAATTTTGATCTGTAATGCAGATAAAAATAAATTAACCAATTAACAGAAGTAAAATAGTACTTAAATATAAAAGAAATCAAAATCAAGAAATCCTAACTAAATATATTTTGGTAGTATATATATATTTTTATTCTTACACAGATGTATTTACACATAACCCAAAGTAAATTTTACGTTCTCTATATTTTCATTATCTATAGTATTATAATTTATCAAAACAAAATCCATAATGAGGCTGTCAAATTTAAAGTAATTAATATTCATTACCTGAGACTGAAGTGCCAGAAAAGGGATAGTGCATCTCTATGCCATATATAGCCTTAAATAAATACAAACCCTGATAAAAAGAAAGCAGCATGCCAGAGATCTCTGAAGACAGCGCCAACGCTGTAAGAGGTGCTTGTACCATGGCTCTGAACTGCTCCCTCCTGTGTGTTATCTGTGGTACTAGAACCATCTCCTTCCCTATGTACTTCCAAATGGGCTGCTTTTCTTAATTTCCTTTATCAGAAGAGATTAAGAGTGGAAGGCAGCTTTAAAATTTTAACAACCATTTTCTTAGTACTACGATCAAAATTTTGAAAAACATAAACACAGGAACTTTATTTAATACATAATAAAATTTAGATTTACTTTATAGTATTTAATCCAAATATCATGGTGCATATTCAAGACCAATTTCTATAAATGTTAAGATATTGTTCCCTGCTCATACTGACAGGTCAGTGGCCAGAAGATTGTAAGGATCACATTTCTTCCCTATTTGAATGCCACTTATCTGCAGATGAAGAAAGAAGAAAATTTAGACTGGAGAGAATTATAATCTCACCAATTAGCAATGCTGTTTATCTAATGTAGGTTATTATCTTTTAAAAATGAAATGGGCTTAAATCTCAACACCCAAAAACTGCAAATGTCACAATCTCTTAGCAATAATATTCAAAAGAGGAATTGTTCCAAAAGACCCTTAAAACAGAACTCCATTGTACAGAGTAGCCACTGAGACTTGCTATGTTTACTTAATCAAAGGGTAATATTAAACAGCTTCAAATAGTATTTAATAAATAGTTTAGCTGAAATTTCTTCTTGGCTCTTGCTTTTGCCAAAGCATCTTAGAAACACATGGTTTATAAGTAGTGAGAATTATTAACAACTCTAGCTAACGTATATTCCTCCCTACATTGATATCAGGTGACTAGAAATAAACTTCAAGGAAAAAACAAACAAACAAAAAAAACAGACATGTGGTCTCAAGATGGCCGTGAGGCAAATATAGAAGCTAAATCACTTGGTTATTAATTCTGAAGCTCAGTGCTTTATTTGAAAGGGCAACTTTATAACATTTTACTCTATGTAGGTAAGAGCAGTCAAAAACAATCCTGGATTCAAATTATGGAAATCCATAAAAAGATCACTTTTAAACAGACGGTACCTTCTTCGTTTACCCCCTGTACTTAGAGGAGGTTTGGGGGTTCTTGTCGAAACAATCTGGCAATGCACAGTTCCCAGGAGCAGCATCAGCCATATTGGCCCAATCACTTCTGTCAGAGGTATACTATGTGGGCTAGAAGCGGAACAGTATAGCACTATTGCAGCAACTACAAAAAGGGAAAAAAAATATGCTTAATTATAGATCTGATAGTCACTTCTTTAAAACTTTTAAAATTGTTTTTATATTACCTCTTGCCAGATTATTTTTCTAAATTTAAATCAGTTTAGAATGTACTCCAGACAAGCTCTTTCAGACTATTTTACTGTTTGCCACAACCTAACCATGGTATATTTAGTAATAAACTCTTGGAGCAAGATGATAATCAACATAGGCCAGGCATGGTGGCTCACCCTATAATTCTAGCACTTTGGGAGGCCGAGGCAGGAGGATCACTTGAGGCCATGGAGTTCAAGATCAGTCCAGGCAACACAGTGAGACACCGTCTCTACAAAAAATAGAAAAATCAGCTGGGTGTAATGGCATGTGCCTGTAATCCCAGCTGCTTGGGAGGTTGAGGCAGGAGGATTGCTTGAGCCTAGGAGTTTGAGGTTGCAGTGAGCTATTATCATGCCACTGCACGCGCAACAAAGCAAGACCGTGTCTCCAAAAAAAAAAAAGATGATAACCAACATAATCTCTAAAGTATACAACTCAACAATGCAATGAAAATTAGATGCATATGAATCTAAGGGGAAGATCACAGACAACTGAAAGAACCACACTAACTTCAAGTACATTTATTTCTTTGTTTTATAAAGAAGGAAGTCTTATGGTAAGTATAATGAGGCTATAAAGAGCTTCTTATTAATAGAGGTCTATCTCCTTAGAATTAATGATATAAATTTACTTAGGCATATTTTCCAGATAAACCACCCATCAATGCTTACCATTACTACATGAAGGGGCAATCTTGTTTTTGGCTGCTCAGCATTCCTTAGACTTTCTGTACATAAACTCTTTTTACCTTTTAGGAGTCTCCCTTCTTTATCTGTCTACCAAATCTTCTCCTTCTTCTATCTCAGGGACAGACATGTAATCTAGGCTTGCCACAGTCTTAACAACTCTGAGCACAGCAGCTAATAAAAAGATGGGTAAGTGACCTATGGAGGGCCAATCAGAATCTTTTCCAGGGCCTAATACAGGTGCTTGAAGAAGGCCTTTCTCCTAGATCACAAACACTAAAGACAATGAAAATATGAATTTGCCAGGGGCCATCTCAGCACCATTCAGAAAGAGCCAACCTAAGAGTGTGACTGGCAAGGAAAGCAGAGTCAACAGCATAAAACGTGAAGATGTCACCTGAGCCTCTAGATCCAGCCATGTCTGAATCCAGGGCCTAGGAGTACCTAATTCTGTTTTGAAACAAGTGGAAAATTTGAATATTAGAAGATTTTTGATCATTTCGTTAAGTACAATCATTGTAATGTGGTCATGCAATATGCATATTTTGAAGAGATATGTTCCTATTGATATATTCAGGGGTACGATGTCTCGATAATTTACTTTAACAAAACAGAATAAGTAAACATCCCAAAATGTTAATAATTATTAAATCAAAGAGATGGGTATATATGGGTGTTAAGGTGACCATGTAATTTATCATCTAAACCAGGACACTTCTGATCGTGAAAGGGGGGCTGTTCAAAGCACCAGGACAACCTGAGTACACCTGGACAGTTGGACAGTCCAAGGCAAATTAGGATATATGGTCACCCTGGTTAGACTTGAAACTGGGCTTTACCACACTTGGTGACTGTGTGGCTTTGGTCCCTCAGGTCTTTCAGGTCCCATGTTTATAAGGTAGGCATAATAATAGCACCTAGGCTGGGCATGGTGGCTCAAGCCTGTAATCCTAGCACTCTGGGAGAACAACGCAGAAGGATCGCTTGAGCTCAGGAGTTCGAGACTAGCCTGAGCGAGACCCTGTCTCTACTAAAAGTTGAAAAATTAGCTGGGTGCAGTGGCATACACCTGTAATTTCAGCTACTAGGGAGGCTGAGGCAGGAGGATCATTTGAGTCCAGGAGTTTGAAGTTGCAGTGAGCTATGATGATGCCATGGCACTCCAGCTGGGGTCTCACTCTGTCTCAAAAAAAAAAAAAAAAAATAGTACCTATATTTCATTGGGTTATTGTGAGAATTAAATGAGACCCAAAAAGCACTTAGAAGAGTACATGGTGTATAGAACGAATTTCAACAGAATCAGGACAGCTCAGATTACAGTGGAAAAAGGTATAGTAAAAAGAAACCATACCTAAGGCATGAAAAATAAACTTGTATAGTTTGCATTTTATAAAAAAGACTGGCATGTATGTATGTTTGGGGGATACATTTTGAAGAGGTTTTCTTTCCAATTTTTAAAAATCCTCTCAATTTCTATTTTTCTTTAGATATCCACAGATTCAAATTTTCATAAAATTACGTCGGAAAATAACTGCTTTGTTTTCTTATACATTTTTAGTACCAAACCAGTTTTTGTGGCTTATTAACACACTCGTATTCACTTCATACTCAGTAGTTGTTAGTATATGTTTAAAACAAAGTCTTAGAAATCCTAAAAATATAACATCCTGAAAGTTAAAAGCAAAATGCATTTCCATCACTCAATTATACCTTGAAGAAGATATAGTACAAGAAGCCAGAAAAAGATGACCTTTGATGTTACTTGTAACCACCACCGGAAGAAAAAGGGAAAAAACACAACTCGAACAATTCCCTTTCTAGTTAGAGAAGTCCAAGGACTTTCAGGCTTAGCCTTAGCAAATGCAGATCCTGGAAAAAAGTAAAATAAATGATGTATATACATATAGATATATTTTTTAAATCCAAAGTAGCAGAAAAGAATCAACTAGTAAAGATTTCAATTCAGAGTACATTTAGGTATTATTATTTAATTTCCTCAGATAAAAAATTTCAATGTTTGGAAAAACAACAACACATATAACTTTATTCTGTACTATGCTATGAGTGAGAAATGTCCAATTTTGAGTAATAGATACTTTTAAAAACATCCTTCATGCTATTGTATTAACTCAGGTACTTTGAAAAACACTATTAATTGAAACTAACAGCAGAGTTTCCCCCACATATTTTATAAATACAGGACAATACTCAAATGTCAGTTCTAGTTTGGAATTACAAATTACCACTTTAATTTTTATAACCAAGTCTTATAGTTTGCTAAGCAAACATGAGCTGTTACTCTTTTACACTTATTTCTTAGAATGATCTTTAGTGTGAGGAAAGACTAATCAGTAATATTTAAATACTTCCACTCTCTTTTTTATATTACTACTGCCTTCATTTAGGCTCATAATGCTTTTATTGCTGCAAATATATATATATATATAGCGTGCCTATTTTGAATTGTTTCATCAAAGTCAATGTCTACTTGTATTAAGCATTTATTTGTCCGACACTCACCTCTTACAAGATCAACATCTATGAGGTCTGGTTTCACATGAGCTGTTTTCTTTGGTTTATTCCTTAACCCCTATGATATATTAAAAGAAGTACTGAAATTATATATATATATATTATTTTAAAAATCCAGAATAGCAGAAAATAATCAACTCCTAAACATTTCAATTTAAATAAAATTAAGTAATAACATACACAATAATGTAACACATTATACATTTGTTACAAATGGAACATAATTATAGTTGTGTAATAAATTTGATTACTTTCCTAGAGGATATATTTAGGGATATGTGTAACATGAGAAGCCTGTTTATTATTAACAGTAAAATTATAATACAAAGACTATCATTATCAAGCAAACTCAGGTGTACAGTCTGAGATGGTCCAGAGGATTGCATTGGCCCCAGATTGGCATTAGGAGAGTGTTGAGGCTGGCTCGGGGAGCAGTGGCCCCCATGGCCCCTCAAAGTGTGATGCTGGGGGTGTTATTGCAGAAAGCAGTGGATCACAGAGCTGAGGACCAGATCAGGATGCAGACTTCTCAGCAGGTACCAATCAGCTGAGAGCCAGGATGATGCACATCTCAGGGTTGCCACTATGTTCACATGCCAACCAATGATCAGAACACAATGCCACCTCATCGCCTCAGAACTTAGATACCATAACAAGGAAGAAGGGGAGGAAGAGGCAGTTATTGTGAATTGCATTTAAATTTGAAATTACTGAACACTGACTAAAATTAAGTTTCTGCCATCGGTGTACAGAGCAGAAGTGCGGGGTGGAAATCAAAATTAGTGGGTAAAAAAACTATGGAAAAATAAGTTATTTTATTACTTGAGACTAGGGTGTTAAGAATTAGAAGAGCTTAAGCTAAACTCCTCTGGAGCCAAGTGCTGAGGTATGACACAAATGTTTAGATGATTTGCTTATTATTCATTAAATTAAGCAAGTAGGCCAGGTACAGTGGCTCACATCTGTAATCCTAGCACTCTGAGAGGCTAAGATGGTAGGATGGCTTGAGGCCAGGACTTTGGGACCAAGCTGGTCAACACAGTGAGACCCTGTCTCTACAAAAATTAGAAAAATTAGCCAGGCATGGTGGTACGCGTCTGTTGTCCCAGCTATTCAGGAGGCTGAGGCAGGAGGATCACTAGGGCCCAGGAGTTTGAGGTTGCAGTGAGCTATGATGATGCCACTGTACTTTAGCCCAGGCAACAGAACGAGACTGTCTCAAAAAAAAAGAGAAAAGATAGCTAGGTGTTGTGGTGTGTGCCTGCAATCCCAGCTACTCGGAGGCTGAGGCAGGAGGATCAC